TTAATACGACTGTAATTACAAACTAAGTAACTACAGTGGACGGGAATAAGCCAATCAGAAGACGAGCTATTGTTGAAGATTCCGGAGACTTTTTATTTCAAAAATATGCTTTAGAATGTTTGCGTATAAAGGTGTTGCTAGGCAGTTTATCACGAACATTTTGTGGTCGTGATTCGCCGTTTGACTCTTAGATGTGCGAATTAAAAAGTCGCTAGTTGGTTAATTTCTCACTGTAAGTGAAACAAACAAACAAATGTTGACGTTTTTGTTATACATTTAAGCCAGAATAAGGAGCTAGCCTCAGGGTCAGTAGTCTCACGTGCTGTACATTCCCTTGGTACGAGAAGTGATAAAGTCAAAATACTAACGAAGAAAAGTGTGTAATTACTGTCCAAGATACGTCTTAACAAGGTTTATGTTGCTTTCTGTTTTTTTCTGCTGATATTTTGAGTTAAATTAAAGTAAACTGGTAAAGTAATATGTCATAAGCTCTGGTAACTTTTGTAAAATTGACCTGGGACTTAAAGTTTTTTAAAATAACTTTTATAGAAATTCATTTTCAGCTTTTTTTCCCTACCTAGTTACACACAATCATTAGTCAAATTTCCAAAAAAAAAAAAAAATCCTAATTATTATCACTGTTCATAACAGATAAATATATACATTTGTCTATCCAGTGGTACAGACTACTAGAACATACTACAGCTATAGTACAGATGATACTATATGGGCATAATACTTGATATACTGTAAAGACACAGTGACCTCAAAATGAAAGGTGAAATCATTCTTGTAATCAAATCGTCATTATATGGGAGACAACATCGACAGATTTCATAACTACTGAAAATGTGAACATGTTTTTAAAACTCAACTATGGGCCGTCCCTTTGAGACAATTGAATACGTCATAACGGTTAATTAAAAAGAAAAGTATGTTACAAGCAAGTACTACTTTAGGTTGTAATTTTAATGTTAATCCTAAAGGTTAACATAGAACAATGATTGTCACGTAGGAATACTAAACATTCTACTAGAATGTTCTAACTATGTTCTAACTCAATTAGCATTTTCTATGTATCAGAGTAAAACCCCGGCTCCAAGGCCTGACGTCAAAGTGACTCCTCCCACTTCACTGACAGCCAAGTCCTCCCTCAGCAACGAGGACATCATGAGGTACAGCCGACAGCTCCTTCTCCCTGAGTTTGGTGTCAAAGGTACGGAGACTGTGTCATGATGACGTACGGCCGTGTGGGAATGAGGGTCGAGATAACACAACACAACTGAACACAACGCGCTTGTTTTTGACCGTCCGCAGGTCAGATCAACTTGTCAAAGACGTCCGTGCTGGTCGTCGGCTGCGGAGGACTAGGCTGCCCCCTGGCACAGTACCTGGCAGCGGCAGGCGTAGGTTGGTAACTGAGTCGTGAAGTTGTCCTAAACCAAACATCATTTTGTTCTTGTTTCTGAGATGTAAGTGGTTCATAACAAACCAGGGTTAAACTCCTGATAGTTCAGGATTAAGTCTGAGTCACTTCACAGCTAAATAAAATAAAATATAAATAAAGCTGCAAGAAACATGTTTCCATTGGTTTACATTTCTCAAAATTCTTAAACCAGTTTAGTGCTGTTAAACTAAACTGTATTCACAGCCCTTTTTTTTTTACTTTTGAGCTTTTCTCTTTTAAACTGTTAATTAAAAAAGTTAATTAAACATAAAAGAAATTTGTGTGAAACCCAATCATGATTTAAGATTTTTATTTTTTTTATTTTGTTGGTATGATTTTATTTTATTTTGTGTTTTTACACCTTCAAAGCTGACCCCTGACTGATTTTCTTGATAATAATTTTGTGTGTGTGTCCAGGTCGACTGGGTCTAATAGACTACGACGAGGTGGAGCTCAATAACCTGCACAGACAGGTGCTGCACAGAGAAGAGAACCAAGGACAGGCCAAGGCTTTATCTGCTGCCAGTGCTATTAAAAGGTACTGCACATACATGTGTGTACAAAACACACGTGTATCTGGAGCAGATGTCTGATAAAAAAAAAGTTGAAACATTGTTGAAAAATAATCAAAACAAATATTATATTTAGTGTGTTTATATTTGGCAACTGTGTACTGTAGTACTACGATAGGTTGTGTTTGTTTTATATTTGTCCCAAATCTACGAATACGGTGGGAGTCTTGCTATTTGGCGTACAATACACAGTAATTGTCACATGAGGGCGCCATTTCACTAAATTTTCAAAAATGCACATAGTATCGAACATCCGTTTAATTAAAGTCTCCCATTTGATTTCTGATGAGAACAAATATTTGTTCATAATTTTTTTCATCTTAACCTTTGCGTTCATGCATAACTGACGAGTGTTAAAGATAATATTCTTTTTGTCGTTACCTCCTTATAAACTGATTTTGATTTCTTCTTCCTTTTCCTGCAGTTTAAATTCCACTGTACAGTGTTGTCCATATCAGCTGCAACTGTCACCAGAAAATGCCCTGGATCTCATTCAACAGTATCCTGCAGCTAAGCTAACTCTCGAGTGGCTAATCCTCGTCTCCAACATTCCTCAAATCCATCCACCATGCACTGTTTAAGTTTGATTTGATAACTTCAAAAACCAGAGTTTACCAAAAAGCCTTTCTAATAAATTCTGTGACGATACCTTGACCTTGGTGACCTCAGGTATGACATCGTGGCAGATTGTTCTGATAACGTGCCCACTCGTTATCTGGTGAACGATGCCTGCGTCCTCAGTGGAAAGCCTCTGGTGTCGGCGAGCGCTCTAAGAATGGAGGGACAGGTTTGTTACAAACTTCGTCTTTTACCTTTTTTTTCTGTCAAACCTGTGTTTGTTTGAATTTTTATCTTTTTTTATTACAGTTGACAATATATAATTATAAAGGAGGCCCCTGTTATAGATGTCTGTACCCTGCACCACCTCCACCAGACACAGTCACCAACTGTTCTGATGGAGGAGTTTTAGGAGTCGGTGAGTTAAGTACTTTGTTTGGTAGTTAAAAAAAAAGAATCACGACTTGTCGATTCTCCTTAACATCCTTCACTTTGTCTCTAAGTTCCAGGAATAATGGGCTGTTTACAGGCTTTAGAAGTTTTCAAGATCGCCTCTGGACAAGGATGTATCCTTTGGTCCTCCATTTATTTGAGCAGGGGTTCCCAACCCCCGGTCTGGGGACCGGTGCTGGTCCATATGTAAGGTCATTTGGGACATTTTGGGAAAAATGTTGGGGACAACTGTAATAGAGGATGATTAAAAAAGTCAACCTATCAATATAGAACAGAAGCTGCACTGTGGTAGGGTGGGCTATTGCACTTGCCTTACAGCAGGAAGATCCCTGATTTGGGTTTTTCCTGTGTGGTTCGATTCAGTCCAGGTAATCCAGGTTCAATATCAGCCGTTACTGTGGACCAGTAATACTGCACCATGGTTGAAGGATCATTACATTTACAAAATAAAACCTCTTTCAGACTTTCTTCTGTTAGTATCGGAGTCTGAATGACCTTTGACCTGTTGTTTTGAAACATTGACAGATTATTTTTGAATGAAGAAAGTAAAGGGATATGACTGGATTCTTTTGGAATGAAGTAAATTAGCAAAACTGAAGTACTTTTTTTTCACTGTGTCCCAATGACCTAAAGACTGGCAACGGTTCCCAGACCGGGGTAAGAAAACAGATTTTCAGTGTTCAGTCTGGCTACTCACCCTGATGTGACCTGTAGGGGGCCGTACACCAAGTGTGTCCAAATGAACAGGAATCCTTGACTGTGGCTCTCAGCGTCCTTACACCAGCAGCTGATGATGTTCGATGCCCAGGATGCCAGATTTAGGTCCATCAAGCTGCGGCCCAGGCAGAGTGACTGTGCAGTGTGTGGACAGAACCCCAGTGTGACCAAACTGGTGGACTACGAGAGCTTCTGTGGATCTGCAGCCACTGATAAGGTTTGTTGAAGAAAGACAATTGACATAATTGAGATAATTTGGTTTTACAGTTTTACATGTTACATTGAATACACATTAGTATTAATTAGGAACGTTCAATATTAAGTTTCGCAACTGCAATGCTGCCATCTAGTGACTTTCACTTTCATATACAGTTGTTTTTCCCCCAAACTATTTTTAGGGCACACATCATTTGGTGAAATCGGATTATCGGGTTTTCATTATCAGAGGAAAAAAACAATAACGATTCTTACAGATATTACATAAGTATGCTAATATCGGGCCTACAATATCGGCTGGCCAATATTATCGGACATCCCTAGTATTAATACCACTTTATTAGAGGAGAATTCTTTAATTCATTTTTTTATGTTTCAGTGCCGGAAACTCAACCTTCTGTCCAGGGATCAGAGGATCACAGTTCAGGTGAGGAACATTTTCCTCCAGAATCTGATGGTCATTGCGTGACTCCCCATATTTTCTACTGTTTATTGTACTGTATTATTATTATTATTCTTAATTTTCTCAGTTTTCGTGTGCATTCATAACCTGATTACATCTCACAGTGGGCCCAGCCTAAAATGGGAAATGACTTCAAATGTGCCTGTAGATTTTCTCTGGGAAAGAACAACAATGCTGTATTTGGCTCCCGGAGCACTGGTGGTGGACTGCGTCTGTTTATATTTCTGCAGCGCTGGCACTTTTTAAAGCAGCTGAGTCATTAGGCTCCAAGATGAGGATCATGATTGATTGGGCTGCAATCGAGGTTGTGGATAAAGGGCTCCGGTTAGGAACAGCGTTGTTTCCTCCGATTTAAGGAAAAGCAGTTAAAAGGCTCAAATTACTCTGCAAATATAAACGTCTGAGCTTCATTTCAACATGGGGGAAATTTGATTTCCCCGTTCAACTGTGAGGGCATGAATCACAGCCTTAAACACTTCTCTCCAACTTTACATTTTACTCTCTGTGTGTAATACATTTTTATATCATAAATAAATAAATTACAGGCTTACAAGCTGATGCTGGATAAAGCTGAGCCCCATCTCTTGTTGGACGTACGCCCTCTTGTGGAGGTGGATATATGCTCCCTGCCCTTCTCTCTCAGTATCCTTTTGGAGATGACTGTGCAAAAACACTGTGTCCTGTTGTCTGTGTTTCCTGTTGCCCGTATTTCCTGTTGCCTGTGTTTCCTGTTGCCTGTGTTCCTTATGCTACTGCTCCCAGACATCCCTCTGTCACAGTTAGAGGCCAAAAACAGTGACGACATCCACCTGCTGAGAGAGAGAATCAGTCACTTAAAACACCAGATCGCAGGTATCTCCCAGCCTCCAGGTAAGATGTTGAAAACTGCGATTTTTAGCATCATTGCTAAATGAAAATGCCTTTTTTTTTAAATTTTTTTTGAACAATTGTGCAGGAACAGCTAGTTGTGCTAATTCACAGTCGACCTGTCGCCTCTAATTCTGGATACGCAGGAAAAGCTCATATAATGAGGTTGCTAGGCGATCTCTTTTCCAAAACAAGCATGATCAGCCCGGGCAGCTGGCCGGGCTTTGGCCAAATTAATATTCAAAATGTTATTTTGGAGGTCCGCTGGATTTAGCCTGTTGTACATTTAACACTGATCTAAATATAGTTTGTGTCACAGCACTTTATGTAGCAGTGGTTACTTATATTTATACGCTACATGATTATAATCATCTTAATAACAATCGTCTGGTGGTTTTTTTTGCTGCGTCGGTGAATGACCTGGTTTCTCTGTTTTTTTCTCTCCTTCCCTACAGTCTTTGTCATCTGTAAGTTGGGGAACGACTCACAGAAGGCAGTGAACATTCTGGAGCAGATGAGTGGATTACAGGTGGACAGTATCATTGTCAAGGACATCTGTGGTGGACTGATGGCCTGGGCCAACATTGTTGACCCCTCATTTCCACAATATTGAAGTTTTTTTTTTTAATGTTGAAACCTGAGACATTTTTTTTATTTTCTCTAACTTTTTTCACTCTGTGTTGTGAACTCATCGTTCAAAAATTGGAGCTGATTCTATGTGAAAACTCCAACTTTTGGGGATAAGGATAAGATAAAAATAAAAAACATAAATATTGTACATACAAATACACATACATATGTCCCATAAAAGTATACAATATTCACATGAACATATATAATGGTTAACAAAACGTTAGGAACGTTTCTTATCCCTTGGTCTTTCGCTCCTTTAAAGCGATTAAAACGGTGTTTTACAATAAAATAAATGATTCAATACAAAAACGTGGATATTTAAAGTGAAGGTAAATATACAAATTGTTAACAATGAGACTTAATACTTCAGGGAAATTTAATGTTATTGTGTTGACTGTAAAGACTTGTTATATATTTCCGTTTTTGTAAAAAACTGTTTGCGTGTATTCTGTGTTTTATATTTGGCTTAACGTGGCTGAAAGGAAACGACGTACGTATTGTTTGTGTTGTGCACACGCTGCAGAATTTACAATAAAGTTAACTTTTGACACTAACTTTGACTCGTTAGCCCGAAGTATCAGGTCCGGATCCATCCGGGGGCCTCTGGGTCCTGCTGGACGGCCTGCCGCTGCCTGCTACAAACCAAACCGGGTCGTGTGGGATAAAGTGTTTTTTTTTTTTTTCACTGGCACCGTAGAGTTGGAATAACGGAAAAGAAATGCACATGCGCAGTAGTTGTTGGTGTCCGGAGGCGCCATTGCTTCACAGGGACTGTAGTTCAACTTTTCCTCCCCACACATGGAAAGTGAGTTCATGCGGAGCTAATAAAGGACTTCAAGCCCCAGCGACGGTCGCTGCTCCTTTCTGGTCAGGCAGGGGGAGTAGTCACAGCTGGAAGGATAACAAGATGCGCATGAATTTACAGTCTGGAATTAAAGATACGAGAATATAAATGGGCTCTTCGGATAATCTCTGCGCGCCTGGGATTAGGAAAAAAGTTGGTTTTAGCGTGTTTTAGCCACGACGCTGGGCTTTTTGGTGGTGTTTCCTACGGAACAATAAACGCCGAGGCGCCGCTTCCCGCAGTTGATGGAGTTAAAAAGTTTCTGGAGTTCGCTCACAATGGAGAGAAAAGCGCCCTGCGCTGAATGTGAAGGTAAAGTATCAACTGTTTATTTTTCGACTCAAGTCATTTGGGTCGACGTGTGTTTATTCCGTTGCTTTTTTTTATTTTTTTTTAGCTCTTTGGTCAAAGTTTCACAGGCTCGGAGTGCGGATTCGGGGCTTGTATAAGTTGTTTTGCTGGCATTCTGCACTCGCCTTGTGTTCTGCCAGCGAGCCAGTCCAGAGTGGGAGGAGTGCAGATGTTCACAAACCTCCATTCCAGATGTTTCTGGACTTTCAAATCTTGTAAAACGCGGACAAAATACGCTCTGGCGACTGTCTTTCGTCCCCGTGGACTTTATTTGCATTAGTTTTGGCCGCCTGGCGAACTCAAAGGCAGGTTTAATTGTGTTTACCGAGAGTCGAAAAAGTCGATATTTACCATTGAAACTAGCGAGTAAACGAGAAATGCTTGAGCGGTGTCTGACTGAAGTGACCTATGTTAACAGTAGCAAAACCACAGAACACGTCCTAATATTAGCTATCGACTAAATGCTTTCGTGCAGAGGTAGCATTTTAAACGCAGTATATTTTAAGATACAAACAGGTACATTTCACAAAGATAATCATTTCAAGAAATATCCACGATGCTAACGTCTTCTATTACTACCACCGAGAAGTTGCCTATTAATGAGTAATAGACTAAGTTGTAGATAAATGTTAAGATATTAATACACCCAACTTTTCAACATTGAACTGGATGTAAAACTAAAGCGTTTCTTTAAGAGATGTCCGATTATTTGGTAAGTGCGATTCACCGATACGGTTTTTTTTTTCATTTGGATTTCTGGTCATATTAAAAAAGGTTAATAACTATGAAACATTTCGCACAAACTGCACTCAGTTGCACCATATTAAAAAATGTTAAAAAATTTCGCACAAACTGCACTCAGTTGCACGTTATCTGTCTTCAAAATACTTCAAACTAAAGGATTGTACAATAGTTCCCCATAACAAAACACATATATCTGCCATATTTTCTGTTTGTAAAGTGTTACTTTTGAAGTTATTTTAAACAATAACGCTAATGAATGATTTCTCTTTTTCCTTGCCTTATAATAAAATGTCCAAAAATGTATTATTTAGTTTAGAATTTAAATTAAAATGTAGAAGAGTCACTTGTGAAAACAAAGCAATGACATTGCTGATGACATCAATGGATTTACTTTAGTTTAGTTTAGTCGAAAAGAAAAGACCAGATGATGCTAGCAAAACAAAAGTTGTAAATTTATCCAAAGCATCGATTATTATTATGTGTTATAAAAGCATTATGACGAACTTATAGATATCTGCAAGGTACAGATCAAAACTCAAAACTTTCCAAAAAAACTAGTAACAGATGTGTTAAATCACTTTATAAAAACACCAGCGATTGATTAGGAATCAACAGAGTCCTGTAAAATAATTGAAAACTCCAAATTTGCGGACTAGGAAAAACGTCCCCTCTGCTTCAGAGAGGCCTACAGCCCAGACCAAAGTCTGCTAAAGATGAGGTAGAAGTACATGAGATATACTTGTACTATGTACTATGTAATTTGGTCAGAGATACTTCCCATTTTTGGAGAAGGAAAGGAGAGGTACGTTGCCCAAAGAACACCTTCTCCACAGCTGTTATTGAGCGTAAAGCCGAAATTCACTGTTTCAATGTTCAACACTAGGATTCTACTTTAAAACTGGTAAACAAGAATTTCCAGGAGGCAGAAGGAAACATTATTGACCGTCTGCTCTGACCCTTAAAATTGTCAGAAAACCATGAACTATGTAGAAGCTCTAAAAATTTGGTCAAAGAAGAATGGGCTTCTCAGGCTTTACTGTGTCCCTCAAACTCGTTAAAACCAACCGCAAGCGACTGCTGCCTGTTGCTCGGCAACAAAAGTCATACAATAATAAATGGATTCAAGATATTTACGTTTTGTGAAGATGATGTCACGACACTAGCACTGCAACTGGTTTTTCTCATTTACAGTTAGTCAATGTTAAGGTGACGATTAGACTGGTCATATCTGGTGTCTATATCTTGTCTATTAGTGCTTTTTAATCGAAGTCCTGTCAGGAAGACAATATTATTTAGCAAAGTTATGGTTGTATTTTGCTTTTACACCATACGAAAGTCAAACTGGTCTGGTCTTATTGACCTAGCAAAGTTATGGTTGTATTGGTAGTATTTTGCTTTTACACCATACGGAATTCAAACTGGTCTGGTCTTATTGACCTGGCTAACTGTCAATATATGAAACAAACAAAAAAAATGATCTGGAAAGAGTTCCTTCCACCTGAATGTCACTAAGTAGGAACCTTACGTCTTGGTTTAATAGCATACTGCCACCTACTGTACTAGAGTGTGTTGTCCCATGGTACAACCAGTGACTTTTTGAGATAAGCCTGTAAGAAGGCATACAGCCAAATATTGCAAATGTGTCAATGATGTAAACTAAGTGTATTTGGTTTCACTCCTTGTATTATGGGTGTGACCTGAAATGCATTGAAAAATGTGTTGAATTGAATGTGAGCCCAAAGACAACATTCTCCACCCAAATATATTCATCCTACACTCAAGGAAAGCCTTGTAGTTTTTACTAGCCTCTGTCGTTGATTTATACAATGGACGTCGCAGCCCAGCTGGATACCTTAGCCCTTGAGCAGGGCTTATCTGACCCCCGACTTAAGTGTTTATTATTTAGGGCAGCTCACAATGGACAATAAATGATAAAAATAAAATCAAACTCACACAGACACCATAGGTGTGACCTTGCTTTTGCTGCTAACGTTGCATTACTTTCTGGTAATGTTACTGGTCTGTTATCTGACTTGAACAAAGCAGGTTTATGTACACTAGTTGAGTGTCAAGTAGTTTAACACTTGACTTGAACAAAGCAGGTTTATGTACTCAATACTAGTTGAGTGTCAAGTAGTTTAACACATTTTTCATACCCTTTTGACCTTTAATTTTCTATCAGTGGAAACATTTTGCGAGTTTGAAGAACTCTTTTCATCGCTGGGAACATTTCAACAGAAAAATATTTCTCCTAATGACAGTAAATTATATAAAGGGACATGACAGAGCCTGTGAATTTCAAACATGAATAGAAGACAGTTGTCTTTTAAATTAGCTTTAAACTCCTGCTGGGCGCTAGATATTATTAACTCGACGTCGATGTTAATTAAGTTACCACTTCAGTATGTCATTAACTCGGCCTTCAAACAGATCTTCTCCTTTAATGCTCACTATAAGGCTGTATTTTTTGTACTGTACTGTAACTCAAACCAAATCAACACAGAGGAAATGTGCTAGCCTCGTAACTTACCATGAAACACTTTTCAAAACTTTAACAAGCTACAAAGTACTGTATTTTCGTCAACAGACAATTATGGCATAATGATAAAAAATAACAACAACATCTGTGCAAAAATTGTTCATAATTTGTAATAAATCGTGATTTAACTATGGACAATGGCTCCATTTGTTCAAGACTGAATATTTAAATCTACTGCCAGCATCAGTTTTTAATTCCTAAAATGTAATCTATTGAATTAGTTTGAGAAATTTTCCATGACAAGATTCAAGATTTATGATTAAACCAGTATATTTTCTTTCAAATTTCAATTTCATATTTAATCTTTTTGGGCTTTTGTAGCCAAATGATAACATACTTTGACATATATCCAATGTTCAATACAAGTACTGGAACTCATGCTGATATCAGTTTAAGCCCAGTATTTTTATCAA